TTTTATCCACAATTTATGGAAAATATGATCATAATAGCTTCATCCACATGCAAAAAGAAAGGCTAAAAATAATGGAAGGATTAATAAAAAAGAAAAAGACAGTACTCAATATCAACTATGAATATGGCCACAACATATTGTGTTTGGAAAATAAATTAATTCCCATCACTTTATGTTCAAATTTTTTACCAAATAAATAAATAAATACACATATATAAAAAATATCTGAAAGAACAATATGATTAAAGACAAAAGGAAAACTTCGCTGACGCATTTCATCCTGTGATGGAATTTATCAAGGCAAATGTAAGGATTTTTATTTTGTATCAAGTATTTGCAAACAGAAGTAAAAATGTCTTTAGTTTTTCAGCATTGTTAAATTTAACGATGCTCATAAATAAATATACATCATGTTAAGGGTAAATTATAGAGGATGCTAAGGGATTTAATTTTTCTTCTATTTATAAATACTTGTTGCAAAATAAAATCTTTACACTTGCATCTGGTAAGATAAGTTTTCCTTCTGCCTTTTTATATATATATATATATATATATATATATATATATATATATATATATATATATATATATATATATAGTTGAGTCCAATAAATAATTTCCATTTTTTTATTTTTTTTTATTATCCAATTTGTACTTATTTTGTAAGAAGAATTACATTTTGTTCAATTAGATATCCAAAATTGATATCTTTTAAGTAAAATTTCACCAGTTTTATTATATATATATATATATATATATATATATATATATATGTATATATATATATATATATAATATATATATATACAAATGTCCGTCACAATTATTTTTGACAAAGAATTTTATGTTTATACATTCTTTTATAGATACAAATATTTAAGTAGATGCTCTGTTTATAATAAACAGTATTAAACGACATTTACCGCCTGAATGTCAGAAATTTTTTATAGAAAATATTCATTCACCGACAGGATTAAATACCTGTATCCTATACAGAACTGTCATTTAGCCTGACATGCTCTTAACCAATCAGAGAATCATTCAATTAGCAAGGTCAAATTTACTGCCTTTAAACTTGCTAATCGAACGATTCTCTGTGGCTCGATCGGTTAAGAGCACGTCAGGCTCAATGACAGTTGTGTATAGGATACAGGTTTGAATCCTGTCAGAGAACGATTATTTTCTATGAAAATTTCCTGGACATTCAGGCCAGTAAATTTTGTTTAATACTGTTTATTATAAACAGAGCATTTACTTAAATATTTGTATCTATAAAAAGAATGTATAAACATAAAAATGTTTTAAAATTATATTATATATATATATATATATATATATATATATTCCCCCACCACAAGAAAATTTATGTATCCGAAATGAAGAACAAACTGATGTATTCATTTATTAATTTATAACTTATTAAAGACCAAGAAAGAATTGTAAATCAGGCGATAAGCAAACCTATGAAAAAAAAATTTTGAACTCTTTAATCTGGTTTCCATTACAGAAAGTTTTCCCCATCAAAGCATTTTGCAAAAGATAATATGTTCATGGTCAGGTGAATATCACAGGTGTGGTAGAACAAACTAACAGTTCTAAAATGTTTTTGTTTGTACTTACTGTCTGCAGCTTTGCATTGTCATTGAGTGGGGGATCATCATAATCATCTTTCCTTTAATTCACTGCCATGCAAAAGACTAATGTATGTTAGTGAGCACCAAATTTATTCTTAACTATCACGTATGATTAGTAATCAGGATGACAAATTCATCATTACAATTGGTTCCCCAAAACAGAAATTACTTATGACTCAACCTAATGTCATGCTTGGGTGGAAAGACTAGATGCACCCATTTTTTTTTTTTTCTTAATCTGTTTTAATCTAGTCTTGCTAATAAACGATGCGTTTTGTTTTTGTTTTTTTTTTTATTTAAACAAATGTATCATCTTCTGGCCCTTCTCGTTCATATAGCCACCTACGTATGTCTCTTGACTAAACTGATGGTGGGGAGTATGACGATTAAAAATTTTAAAAATAATGAGACCACACTTAACTTTATTTGAAAATCCCCTTTTTTTTTTTAAAATTCCATGATGAAAGTTCAAGCATATCATGAAAAACATTTCATTGTGATGGCACTCAAATTAACTTGTCTAATTGTTAAAAATAGGCAAGTCTATCATCTGGTTCACCCTCCTATCTGATCTTTTTGTGCAGGAGTTGGTTTATCCCTTGATTCCTGTTTAGGATTAGGTTCCCAGTTCTTTCTAGTTTTTCATTCTCTTTCACTGTGCCTTCCCCTCTTTGTTTTGTGTGCGTGTTTTTTTTTTTTTTTTTTTGTATGCGTGTTTTTTTTTGTTTTTTTTTTTTTTTTTTGTATGCGTGTTTTTTTTGTTTTTTTTTTGTTTTTTTTTGTATGCGTGTTTTTTTTTTGTTTTTTTTTTTTTTTTTTTTTTTTTTTTTTTTTTTTTTTGTTTTTTTTTTTTTTTTTTTTTTTTTTTTTTTTTTTTTTTTTTGTTTTTGTTTTTTTTTTTTTTTGTTTTTTTTTTTTTTGTTTTTTTTTTTTTTTTATATGCGTTTTTTTTTTTTTTGTTTTTTTTTTTTTTTTTATGCGTGTTTTTTTGTTTTGTTTTGTTTTTTTTTTTATGCGTTTTTTTTTTTTTTTTTTTGCGTGTTTTTTTTTTTTTTTTGTATGAGTTTTTTTTTTTTGTGAGTGTTTTTTTTTTTTTATCGTGTTTTTTTTTTTTTTTGTTTTCCTTTTTTTTTTTTCGTGTTTTTTTTTTTTTTTTTTGTTTTTTTTTTTTTTTTTTTTTTTTTTTTTGTTTTTTTTTTTTTGTATATGCGTGTTTTTTGTTGTATTTGTTTTTTTTGTTTTTTTTTTTTGTTGTTTTTTTTTTGTGTTTTTTTGTTTTTTTTGTATCGTTTTTTGGTTTTTTTTTTGTATCGTGTTTTTTTGTTTTTTATATGTTTTTTGTATGCTTGTTTTTTTTTTTTTTTTTTTTGGTTTTTTTTTTTTTTTTTTTTGGTGTTTTTTTTGTTTTTTTGTATGCGTGTTTTTTTTGTATGCGTGTTTTGTTTTTTGTGTGCGTGTTATATCCTATTTCAGAGTTGTTTTGGAAGTATCTGCACTAAATAAAGATATGATGCCTTATTCATTCTAAGGACAGTCATCATTTCCGTAACAAGTCTTCCCAGTGTGCCAGAGATTGGTACCATATTTATGCCATATTATATAATAACAATCTGAGAAAATATTATTTGAACCTTCATAGTATTATTCATTTATACTAGAAAAATATAATGAATATAATAAAAGTTACATAATTTTATTAATATATATTTATTTTGTAGAAATATATATATATATATCCATAAAAATGGCCTTTTGGTAGTCATAGATGTGGTTCCCCACAGTCGCACACTACATCATGGTGTTGTCATATGTATTTCAGTTTACTGTTTTGCTGTTCATCACGTTACATTTGTTAGCTGTATAGCAATTAACTTTTAATCTGAGTGAGTAATTGAAAAATGTAACCATAATAAATATGAAACTAAAAAAAAAAAAACAAGACCAAGATATCCTGGTAGTCTAGCATGAAATGTGACTATTGTTTTTTGTTTTTTTTTCCTGGAAATTGTCCACATACTAGTGCCAGTTTGTGTACCACACTTTTAGTAGCACTGTTCTACGATGCGTACATGCATGTGTATATAATGTGTATAATGTAATGTATGCATAGATATAGATTAGTGGGCATGTATATGTGTACAAGTATGCATAATAATAAAAAAGAAAAAAGGTCCCTGATATAGATAAACCAAAATGGAAGACACTCTTGAGTCTGTATATTGAGGGTGATATCAACACTTATCCTCAGATCGCAAGACATTTTCCTTCACATACAGTTTTGTCTTTCATTCTAATTTGAAGAAGTCAAAGTGAGCAGACGTTCTGGTAAAACGAATCATTAATAAATTTTTCCCTTTGTCTCATCACTATTTGTCTCTTCTGTGTTTCAGACCATTTCCTTGGCTTCTGGTACATATTTAGCTATGACTTGGCTAGTATTTGAGGCTTGCATAAGCCAATATCTAAAAGTTTTTTCATGTCTGTCATAGGTTAGGTTAATTTTCAAATATTGCTACTTTGCATCTTTTCATGATAGTTTGTGCTATGCTTTTATTATTCTTTTAATTACTGAAAAGTGAATAATTGAATAATGAAAACTTTAGAATCTCCGTCTATAAAATAACTGACTCAAATCCATGCCAGCTTAACTGCAATGGGGAATGGCCCCTGGGCTGGTGCATACGATCCACTCCCAAGATCAACTGGCAGTGGAAGCAAGTCTTGCTATCTTATCAACAATTTTTTTTTTTTTTTTTTTTTTTTTCTTTAGTTACATTTATATACATTACAAATTAAACTAAGCACAACTGATTATTTAAGAACTTTTTAAGTTTTTTTGATTTTGATGGCATTCTGGGATCTTTTTCTTTGTTTTTTGTTTTTTTTGTTTTGTCCAAATACATGAATTTGTTTTGCCTATGCTAAATCTCAAAAAAACACTGTATAAAAATTCATAATTTTTTTTATCCATAATATTCAATGTGTTAAAATTATTCAGCTTTTTGACAAAAAAAATTTGATGTTAAAAATTGCCACAAAACCTTGATTAAATGATCTATTATGACATGTCTCTAATTTGTATTTAGACACATTGTATTTATTTTCAATTTTTCTAGTTGAATTGTTCACCTATATTGCATACGATCCATTATTGTACATCATTAGGTTATAATAAAATTTGTATTTTATTTATATGAATACTACCTTTATGAAAATTGAGATGTCCTAGATTCCAAGGGGTGCACAAGACCCTTTCACTATGATGCCCACATAGATAAAAAAAAAAAAAATAGCCATTATCATAAACTATCCTCTACATAAATGACATTTGTTATGAATTTGGAAACATGACATTTACGACCACATGTTGAAATACCTGTTCCCAAATGATCACTGAAGTTAAGCAACACTGAGCCTGGTCAGTATCTAGATGGGTGACTGCTTGAAAATACCAGGTGCTGTAA